TGCAAGTACCGTAGAGTACATAACAATTGAAAAGCCAAACCTTGCACTACGGAAAATGAGAGGCTCAAAACAGGATTCTTTTCTTTTTGAAGATTTGCTTGCTGAAGAAAAATTTAAAAAAACAGCCGGAAAAAAATTGTTTACGAAGTATCTTTTAACGAATATACATTACACGTATTACGTAGGTACATCCACCAGTAACTTGAAAAGCACTATGTAAGGCCTAAATAAGGACAACGAATTAAAATTTAAATAAAAGTTCACAGAGTTAGCTATTGGTTGATAAGTTTTAGAAGGAGCTCAAACAATTTCCTAAGAAAATAGTCGATATTGTTGTTTTAAGCGGCTGGTCAGCTTTTCTAGAACTACACACATCAAAGTAGGAAACGTTAAAATTTATCATGACCTTCAAACGTTTACAATATTACCGATAAATATAGAATGAAAAATTAATTTAGCAAAACACTCGCAAATGACTTAACAAATAATCGAGTTCTTTGTTTTTTTTGCTTCCTAATACCCAGAATATGTTCGCCATCAGAGCTAGATTATAAGTCGTTGTGCGTTCACTCAACTATTCTGGAAATTCTTAAAATAGTTTTGGTTGGAAAAACTGTTAAGCTCTCCAAGCCAAAAAAAAAATAAAAAATAAAAACTCACAGCGCAGTGAAATACTTCAACTAAACTAAATTAAAGTAGGTAATCGTTATCGAATAGTAAACGTTGTCGCTGAAACAAGACCAGACCGACTAAGAATCCTCAATGAAAATTAATAAAATTACAAATCTTAGAAAACAAGCAACAAAGCGGCTTAAATTATAAAAACTAAAACAATCTGCACTTGCAAGTTAGCCAGCAGAAGATTTACAGCCGTATCCTACGCATGTTACTGCTCATCATAGTTACAAGCACTTGATATAGGGCCTGCCAAGGTCAAGCTTCTAATAGAATTATTATTATTATTATTATGTCTACTACTGCAAAATACCAAATTTATTATAAAACAAACGGCCGACCCTTAAATACCCTCTACCACATTGCCTAACACAAATCTTATTTTTGCCACAAAATGCAAGCATTATACCCTGTTTTTATAGGAGCATATTATTCTGGGACTGTATATTAAAAATTAAACCTCTTTCCAAATGATGTCTTGCTTATGGATCAATTTCCATCACCACATATTAAAACGTCGATTTTTTGGTGAGAATCTTTGTTAGGGCAGGCCGAGATGGCCCCAATTTAATATGGTTGAATTTTTTATCTTGAATTATTATTATGATATAATTTCCATCATAAAGCGTTACAATTTATACCTTTATGCCGTATGAAATTCAATTTTCGTTATATGACATAGGGTTCGAAAATTGCCCCAGCTAGTCCAAAGTTTTCATAACAAGTTAGAATGCCGAAATAATGCTACTTAGCCACTTCCGTCAAGAAATTTTGAAAGTTGAAATTTTTTCCACGACTTTACGTTTTTCCGGAAGAGAACGTTTTATGGGGACCGGTGCAAAAAATGGATCTATCCGAACCATTTTCAATAGCGTTCGTCCTTGGGTCTAAACGCGTCGTTGAACTAAATTTCATCACAATATCTCAGAAATTGCGACCTGTAGCTTGAACATAAATTTACATGGGCAGAAATCGAACGGACAGGCTAACTCAGATCGGACAATGATTTTGAATCGATCGGTGTAATAAAAGGCATTCCGCATGTAACATGCGTACGCACTTACTTAATATACCGTTGCACCACTACTGATGTAGAGTATAATAAAATCAAAAATGACTAGAATTCCTCTAAGGTCTAGGGACTAGAAATCTGATATCGATATAAACCTGATGTTACTATTATAAGTTACAACCAGGATAACTAAATTAATTAATTCGCATATCTCTTGTGTTTTTCGAAGGTTAACGCCTCCTTATACCTATGAACAAAAGGCAAATTTGATGTTTTTTCCTTTGGGATTTATTCACATATGCCCATAATTTTCTACAAACACATAACTTTGCAGACAAATGTATTTATTTTTTCGATGCAGCATGCATGCAATTCTCCGCATATGCGTGACTCATTAAGCGGATAATCGTCTTAATAATTATTATTTGTCTAATTCTCTTTCCTTTTTTTTCATAGCTTCAGTAAACCCCTTTTTATTTACTTTTCAATCGTTTTTTTATTTTCTCGGCATTTTGCTTTTTTTATGGAGTACCTGCTTTAATTGTGAATTCCGATGTTTGTCGATTCCACCATAGACTTTTCCCGCGTTTTACAAAAATATAATAATTATCGGTTTGAAAAACTTCCATTTGTGTTGCTTTAAGGTTTAGAAATGTAATATAATCAAGATTCGTGCAACACTTTCACTTCTTTTCATCGCAAATGACATTTTACAAATAAATGATGATAGTAAGAAAAATTTTATAAATAAATGAGTAAATAATAGGATTGCCAAGCTTCAGCGTCTTTTAATCCCACAACTGCAATGGCTTGACATTAAAAACTGTTATACTTTATTTGTTTTATATTTAACGCACATCAATTCTAAACTGTAGCTTCATGATGTCATTCTGTAATATGAATAATTTATATAGTTATATATATGAGTTATATGATTATAAATTTCTATTGATCGATATCGATCAACTTACCGCAAGTATTATTTTTCTTTTGCACCACAATGAGGAGAGTTTGACTTGTTATAAAAATGCATTTTCTCGTCATCACCAGCAACAGAAACGTTAATATTTTTGTATATATTATTAAACTTAGGCACTCCACGAACCAACATTTTGTTATCTAAGCAGTAGAAGAAGCAACAAAAATTCTTAAGCAAAGCTGAAAATAGAAACGCAGTCAAAAAGAGAATACTTGAAAAGCATTTAAAACAACCTGTACGCTTATTATGTGCAAAAGCAGAAGAAGATCAATTCCGAACTAGACTCTGCGCCTTGCTTTTCAACAGGGAATTTAGCGAGGGCGTTTTTTAAAAATTATGACGGTTTAATTCTAAGCTAACTTGTAAAATAAAAGAAATTAAAAAATTTTATAATCGCGAATTTATTTTCAAACATAGAAGTGTGCCTAAAGAATTTTCGAATTCAACTGGTACGAACTTAATTCAGCTGTTAATCTGACAAAGACTTTGTAGAATCGAAAGGCAGTTTACGTTACAATTTAATATTTTGTTTACTAGCTTGTATTTAAAGGAATACCAAATTTTGTATCGTGGATTTTATTGTGGTTTACCTGAATGCTCGCGTTGCTTCTTTTACTTACTTAGGTGCTGGTAAGCCGAACAACCATTTATTTTAATATTTTCATGAATCTTAAATGATAATAAAATATAATATTATTTTTTATATTAATTATCGAAACAGTAAATATATTAATTATATTAATTTCCTTTCTGCGACAACCTTACGCTGGTCACATCCTTAAGTTGGTCACAATCTTTTGTGGGAAGAAAGGATCGATACTTAGATTATATCTTACACATACACATGCAATAAATTTAACCAGAGAATAAATTCTTTTCTTTTAAAGCGCACTTGAGATTTGAAGCCACTCGGGCGGATAACTTGTAAAATTAAATAAGTTTTCCACAACACTATACATACATCTACAGGAGATGACAGAAGAGCAAAAGCGACCAAGTCAATTAAAAAGAATCGGAAACAATCAGGAAACCATTAAAAAGAATAACAATTTCTTTTATATATATTTTTATATATATTAACCAGCTATTTTAAATATATAATAAAGCTATTATATAAATAAAGCTATTTATATTTAAATATAAATTATATAAAATGTAACAAATATCAATTTATTTATTTACTTATTTCATTTAATGATAACATAAATTACAAACTAGACATTATTTGATTCGTAAATGTACACACACGCTCACATTCTTCTTTACGTAAATAAATTTGTGATATTTGCTAAATTTGGAGTTTACAGTAAGTATATTGTACCATAATTATAGATTTTTGAATAACATTCATGTTTTCTTTGCCTTGACAGAATTAGAAAGCAAGGCAAGCTCAGTCAGTCAGCAAGGTCAGTCTGTCAGTCCGTCTGTCAGTTTGTCTGTCGGGCTGTGATTTATTCAGTCAGCCAGTCAGTCTGTCGGTCCGTCTGCAAGTCAGTCAGTCAGTCAGTCAGCATATCTGTTTACAAGTCAGTCAGGCACTCAGTCAGTCTGTCTGTCTGTTTGCAAGCCAGTCAGTCAGTCAGTCTGTCTGTCGGTCTGCCTGTCTGTTTGCAAGCCAGTCAGTGAGTTGATTCCCTCGTGAATAGTTGAAACCAGAATGTTTACGTAGCAGGCGTAAGTTAATGAAAGCTGTATAATAAGTGCATTAATTTAGGCGTAAGCAACATCATTGACAAAGAATGAGATTTACAAGAAAATGAGATAATGAAATGAAATTAAGAGAAAAAAAGAAACCGTGAGTAAAAATCGTTTAATAATAACAAAGTTTAATGGATAAAATTCGTCTTTTCGCCAATAATCACCGCAGTTATGTAAATTATTTACTGTTTGAAAATATAAAGCTGATTGACAAATTCGGAAAAAATGTAATGCTACGCCTTGGTCGTAGGCATATTTGCCCTTATAAATACGTCGTTAGCGGTACCGTTTATAAAATTCTAATTCGATTCAATAAACGTCTTGGCAACTCATTTTTTACGGGTTTTAATTTAACAGATGCTTTTTTTCAAATCCGCCGCCTCAAAATAATTATTTGTTCTCATTTGCTCTCTTTCTGCCTTATGATATAGGGCGGAGATTCTCATTTCAATCATTTGTGTTGTTCCTCTGAGGTTGATTAGCATTTCGCTCTAAGCTTAAAAATCAACCTCTCTAAAGTAACCATTTAATTGCTTTGTCAAAAATAAAAACAAGAGAAAAACATCTGTTTTCTTCTACCACATAAGTATATATATATATGTATAAATAAATCACAAAAAAAAAAAAAAAAATTTAGGAAACAAAACATAAATTTGCAAAATTCTTCACCTGCTTTTTGCAGCGAATCGAGCAAGAAGAGCATTTGGAAAAAGCACAGACATTAACTAAATTAAATGGCATTACAGTATCTAAAGAGACTTGGATGGTCTATAAACAGAGTAAGCAGCAATAAACGATTAAGATACGTAATGCCAATGATGCAAAAATATACCATAAATTCAAGTATCAGCTCGACAACGGAACGCATGTCTAATAACAATAACGGTCGTCAATATAAGCAAAAGAAGAAATTTGGTAAATTTTTTATACCCGTATTGGGTGCAGTTATTGTGGGTGGTATTTGTTATAATCATTCTGGCATCGTGGAAGCAAAAACTATCAACCTCGCGGGACGCAGAAGGCAATATAATTTTATAGCCGATGTGGTTGAAAATTGTGCCGACTCTGTTGTTTATATTGAAATTAAAGATATGAGACATTTTGACTATTTTACGGGGAAACCGGTAACGGCATCAAATGGTTCAGGGTTTATTATCGAATCGAACGGTATCATACTCACCAACGCTCATGTGGTTATTAATAAACCTCACACCATGGTTCAAGTGCGTTTATATGATGGTCGGGTCTTCCCCGCTGTAGTGGAAGATGTCGATCAAAATTCAGACTTGGCCATAGTGCGCATACAGTGTAAAGATTTGCCTGTTATGCGTTTGGGGGAGAGTGCCAATTTGAGATCTGGTGAGTGGGTAGTGGCTTTGGGTAGCCCACTGGCATTGAGTAACACTGCAACGGCCGGTGTTATCAGTTCCACTCAGAGGCCATCACAAGAATTAGGTTTAACAAATCGCGATATAAATTATTTACAAACTGACGCGGCAATCACATTCGGTAATTCGGGTGGTCCACTAGTCAATTTGGATGGCGAAGCCATCGGTGTCAATTCAATGAAAGTAACGGCCGGTATTAGTTTTGCAATACCTATAGATTATGTAAAGCTGTTTTTGGAAAAAGTTAACGAGCGGCGTAAACGAGGCTCCTCCGGTCGCTTGACATATCCAGCCAAACGTTACATGGGCATTACAATGTTAACTTTGACTAATGATATACTTAATGAACTGAAAATGCGTAGCCAAAACGTGCCCAGCAATCTAAAACATGGGGTCTTAGTATGGAAAGTGATATTAGGTAAGTAATGAATAAATTATTTCCACACAGATTAATCAGACTAATTTTAAATGTTAGGTTCACCGGCTGATATGTAAGTATTTAAATGAAATTCAAAAAAAGAAACAGTGATAATGATGAAAATGATAACTAAAGAATATATATATCTTTGTTCCTGTAGCGGTGGCCTCAGCCCGGGTGACATTGTCACCCATATTAATAAAAAAGAAGTTAAAACATCATCGGATGTCTACGAAGCCTTGGCGGAGAATACCAAATCCTTACAAATTACAATATTTCGGGGTCTTAAGGAGATAACACTTACAGTTACGCCGGAGGATCCCTAAGTATTATTATTAAAAATCAAATGGATTGTTGTCGGCACTTATCTCGTGTCATTGTGCAATTTTTCAAATGCTCTCACTGCCGCCCGCCACTCGTTAAATATTTCGTACTGTCTACGCTTTTAACGACCACAATTATTATTATTCTTATTATTTTTCTACCTTTTATGGTGTGTCTGTTTTAGTTTCGATAAAAATTTATTTATTTTACAATAATATATAATCGGAAAAAATAACTTTTCATTTTTCATGTAAAATAATATTAATTTATTATGTTCTAGCCCAGGAACCCTAAAATTTAACGTTGTACATAGATTTTTAAAATTTTTTTTCATTTCCGACATTTTCAAAAATCTCGACGAACGGATCGAAGTGCTTCACAGATGTTATCTTATAAATTTGTAAAGAAAAAAAGCAGAAGGAGAATGATTACATATTAAGCTTCAATTTGTTTTCATAGAGTCAATCGAATAATTAATTGTTTACAACAACTGCCTTAAAATATGCTACAAAAGCTGAAGAATATTGAAATTCATTCACAGCTTGGTGCGAAATTCATTTTTGTTGATATAACGTCGAGTTTGCAATACATTAGATTAACATTTACTTCAGAGGTATTGACAATTCGCTTCATTTATAGAGTCTGACAATTATTTTCAAGTTCCAAGTCTGAGATGTACGAGAAAGCAATGAGGTAAACAGTTTTCCGTATCAGTTTCCGAACTAGTACATATTATATTATTTTGAAAATAACAATAATGAAACATTACTGATTTCTTTTATAAAAATGAAATTAAAGATGTGTACAAAATATCTCCAGATGAAAATAAAAGGTTTTTCTTTGTTTGTGTGAAACACAGGTCAAAAGTACTTGGAGAAAAGACGAATTAATAAATTTGTTAAGGTTCAAATAAAGAACTTCGTGTTTACATTGAACCTTTTTTATACAACACGGTGAATCTTCTGTTTTTGATTTCCTGAATGACAGAAAAAGAAGAAGAACACATTTTCTGTGAACTTCTACTAATCGATTCTAAATATATATGGGTATCATTCGACAATACGACGAGTACGAAGCAGTGTGGACACGAAGAAGTACGGATGAAGAGAATATGGTTTAGATAAAACTGGCATCTTGTAGAAATGACAATTTCATAAGTAACAATTTCATAAATGTATTTTCGCTACGATTTTAATCACGTCAAATTAAAAAGTTACACGAGCTTCGAGAAATGGAACATATTTTCATTCGTATACATTCCATTATTACATCAATTAATGATGTTCAACGTAAATATACGTCGTAGGTACATAGTTAGATAGATGTAAAAATTCTGCATAGTCAGCCTTTTGTTTCGCGTATAATAAAGTTTCTTTTCCGTTTTGTCTTTGGGTAGATACGATGATAAATTTTGGTTAGTATTGGTAACACCACCTTCCAAAAATATCAAGTTTTTGTGTAAAGAGAATGAAAATATAGGAAACATCGAGGGACTTTCAAGAAACACTCTTCGCCTTCGAAATGTTGCATACAAACTTAGCTCGTCCCTTTACACGCTGTGTTGCCCCATATGCTTGTAGGGCTCTTCCAATGCTTTGTTCATTCATCGCCTTATATTAGACAGGCAGTTGATAAGACCGATAAGTGTTAGAAGGGTGCTCATAATCTATATATATGTTCGAAATGCATGAAATGTTAAAAGACTCCTGCGTCGAGAAAAAAAAAAACAATGCGCCTTATTCAAGAGCTACCATCGCAGTGGTTGAATGATGATTACAAAAAAAAAAAAAAAATTGTACCCGCCTCTTCTACAGAATCCGTCCAAACCTTCGTTTTAATTCAATTGATATGGGTCGTACTACTTCCACCGATCGTTCGCAGCTTCGATTACATATAAAATGTATCCTTTAATCCATAGTACTTGCTCCATATTATTCCCGGCTTAAAGATATATTTTTGGAATCTACACCTAAGATTCGAGCAATTTAAATTTGTGCCTTTGGTGCGAGTGTGTCTGTGTTATGCGCACAAAATCATATTTCCAAGATTTCTTTCCCTGGCCGACCATAACTCTTATAGCGAAGTCCACCGAAGATCGCAGCCGCGCTGCCCAACAAGGTCAACGAGGCGTTCGATCAAGCCTCTGAAGTGCTTTACGCAGCGATGGACCGGCACATGGTGGAGCAGGGAATGGGCAAGCGCGTGCAGACTTTACTTACGAAGGGAAATGTTATTAATACACCTAGTGGGCAAACAGAATTAAATTTTTGCTTAATTTAGTTGTTAGTGTGAAGTTGCCACAAACTCATCGAGTGACTCCGATGTAGAACGAAAGTAAATATAAATTTTCCAGTCATTCTGATAGGTGCTAGTGTATTGCGGATATATTATATAGTTAAAATAATCTTAATTCTTAAGTCGCATACCCCAAATACATGTTCAATTATTGAGAAGTGTAAATAAACATATACGCTTATTCTCACATGGTTGGCATTTTTACAAATTATTGAGAACATATATACGCTTATTCTCTAAAGGCACCATACTTTATACGCTTATTCCTTAAAGGCACCATAGATTATACAAATAAATGTTCCGAGGTCGCAGTCGACCTAGATGGAAGTAAAGATATGATGGCCAAAAGTGTAACAAATAAAAAATAGCTACAGCAGTGAAATATATTTCCTCCCACGATTAATCAGCATTCTCAGGTGTTAAGAATAAAATTTAATGATTAATGATCGTGTCAGCGAGAGCGACACAATACCCTCCTCCTATGTTCCTATGTACCCTCAAATGAATCTTCGAAGACATTTTGAGATGACTTCCTTCCTATCCGCGTAGACACACTGAAATATGACATTAAGGTGGTATCAATGGATATGGCTATCAAATAAAAGAGCTTGGAGAGCAGAATGCGCAAAATTTAGTGATGGGTATGCGAGATTCGGCCCCCGCCGAATATAATTTTCTTACTCGTTTTTGTTTTTTTTAGATGTTGAGTTAATTAAATTATTTAACTCAGAATGAACTAATTGATTCTGTTTTTGTTTTATGATTTTTAGGACAGCGCGTCGACTCTGAATTAAAACAACTGCCGACTTTTTTATGTCCTACCAATAGTTCATTTTCATTACGACTAACATTGGTCGATGTAATTGACAGTATTTCGATGGTCATCTGTTCTGTTATATCCAGCAAAAATGTTGTCTTCATTTGCAATAATCACGATTGGGTACGTCCGCCCCGTTTCGAATGGATCGAAAATCTCCTCTCTCCCATCATATATTATGAGCTATGTCAAATAGAGTTAACACAACTATCCGATCCATTTCTTTTGCTCATTACAAGCTATTACAAGCAATCATCTCACTCTTATAGAAATTGGCTGGAATTAATGTGGCGATTTTCGTTACCCAAGCAATTGCGATTGCTTCCGTGTACATTGAACGAAATTTCAAAGCAAAGCTAACGTGAATACACCGAATGCGGGGCAAGACTGCACAAATTCCAATAATTCCAAAAAACGTAACTCAAGATCGTGTTAAAACAACACAATTCGTGTAAAAAGAGAATAAGATGTATTTACTTTACAGAGTCTCTGAAATAACTTCATCCTGGATATCGTGAACGTTTTGACAAAGCAGATACTAATCCTCCTTGGTTTTCAATGTTCTCGTAAACACAGGATTTTCGCAACTTTTGAGATGGTAATGATTTGGTTATGCAGGTGACAAAAGAGTTTTTATAAATGATTTATAAATAAAATACGCACAACGAACCCACGGAAAATAATACCAAATGGTGGGCCCTTGACATAACAAGTGTGTTTATGGTGAATAAGTTTATTACGTAGATATCACGGATAATGAATCGTGCATATCGCTGGTGCGAAGCAGTAATATCTTTGGAAGATTTCTTTTTCTTGTTTCATAGAAATACAACCTGCAGACGGAAATTGGACACATTCTTCTATCAGGCAACGTCGTGACAAATATGCTTCGCGATTTATAAAAGCGGAAAACGGTAGAAATATTTGCTGGATATGTATTGAAAAAAGAAAGAAGCTTTGACATAGAGTCTCAAGTGGTCCCTCAACGGCAACCATCTCTCTGAGGGTATATGTAAACGGACGTGGCACTCGATTAGGGATAGGAGTATAGGTGGGATTTAACGGTTTGAAGTCTCGCTATGTTCCAACTGGGTGGCTTTTGATGTCATGGTGCCTTCCATCTCAAACACACACATGCATTGATTGCTTGATTTCATTAAGCGTTTACGTACCGCTTCGAAAATTCCTTCGCATCAATTATTTCTTCAAATGCTTTTATAATTAAACTATAGCTACAATTGTATTAATCTTTTCAAGAGAACCAACATTTGTATATATATATATATATATTTGTATATATTTATATTGTGTGTATATTTAATCGGAATTCTCATCAAATTTACTTAACTTACCGTCATGCGTTCGTATAATAAAACAATTCGATGGCATCACTGTGTCTTTTAAAAACATTGATTGATTCTTTATTCCTTTCACATGCGGGTCATTACCGTCTTACTTGTTGCAATTGCGTTCCTTTTAACGCTACACCGAATGAGTTTCATATCAATGCCCCGTAGAATATCTGTGATCTTTCTAAAATGACTCACATATATAATTTTGTTTCTTGTACTTTATTGTTAACATGCATAATTTCAAACAAGCAATGGCACTATAGTGGTTATATGCCCTACACCATCCTACAGTAATCAATATATCGGAATTTTAAAATAATGCGGCGTATGGAAAATGATCAAATACGTGGTTCGATCGGACCCATTTTTAAGAACGTGCGTTCGTGTTGGACCAAAACAAGTCGTTGTCCCAAATTTCATCAAAATATCTCCAAAAATTATGACGGATAGACGGACTGGCGGACATACAATAATCAAGTCCTTCTAAGTGCTGCACACATCCTCACAAACTTACCACAAGCGTTAATAGGGTATAAGCATACAGCATGTTTGTGTGCCCCGCATGAAAAATGAAAGTTGGTCGGCATGATATACTATCGATACTATTAGATTAACTTGAACTATGGTCTCCGAGGTCCATTCTGACTTTACTTGTTTTTCCATTTTTTTTTTTTTTTCAGAAATCTCACCTATTTTCACCTAGTTTTTGATAGTTTGATGCTATTTGTATGGACCATTTAAAATTCTAAAGGTTGTTGGTGTAAAGTCGGAGATGTAATTGCTCGTTTGACTGATTTAATACAATTTAAGTATCATGCAAGAGTTATCTATGACTGCCTTCTTCTTACTTTTCCTAAGCCAGTTCGAGCTAAGCTAAGGCATGGCTTAGTGGCAATAGTATGCTTCTTGGCTTAGCAGAGTCTTCCTAATAATGCTTAACAAATTTTCAATATGAGTATCAGATATTTGATGATCATCTATGAGAAGATAAAATTTTCGATTATCAGTTTGTCTATTGTGTACAACATTTCCACAGTCTTCCCGTCCCACATACATTTAGCAATAAGTAATCATTTTCTGCTATTATAGTTAGATAAGACCATAAAGATTCAAATTGGGCTGCATTCACTGACCCTTGTAACCGATTCATCCATAATGATGTTGACAATGTAGGATAGTGGCGAATTCATGGTTTATACATAAAAAATACTTTAAAGAACCGCCCGTTATGTATGAACTAATAGAGTTTCCATTTAATCAGAACGGCGGTCGTAGGATTGATAGTGATGTGGAGGAGGGCATGAGTTTACTTTGCTGTTTTAATATTTAGTCTTTTAATATTTATATGGAAATACCGAATGTATAACAAGACAAGTTCAAGTGTTAGCGGTGGGAAGACGCCGCAGAGTCCAAGGTCGCTGCAAACAATATCAGCGCAATTTGACTGCTTTGAGCGCATAACCTTAAAGGCAATTGTGACACATTGGATATGTGCCGTTATGGTTTGCTTTTATCTTTCGAAGTTTGCTGAAGATGCGCGCGTTCGAATGAGAAATCTTATAGCAGCAAAAACATAAAATTCTATTTTCGATTTGGTGCATTTCTCTTACCCATCATTTGCCAGGTGGCCAGGATTTTTTATCATCATTTTGAATTTTTAAGTGGCGGACATAATCCTTTTAGGAAGTTACGAATTTTTGGAAATCCCATTTCTCTTGGGTCCTTCAGCTTGGCTATTCGGAGATGATGAATTAAAGCCAGTCTCCAATCTCTAGTAGGGGATATGCAAACGTTTCCACTGAGTAAACGCAGAGAGTCCTTCGCAATCGCACATTACGCAAAATGTCAGCTCACAAACGCTTAAGGCATTTGTAGTATCTATGCTTCTGTGTCGATGTCAGACAACATGGAGGTAAGCATTAGAATACATATGGCAAAGGCTAAGGAAAATGTGTTCATTGCTTCTAGCGATTGCGCCAAATTTAAAATTCCTAATGTCGTCGCCCTGATGTCGAGACTATCACGATGGTGTTTCCTGTAGTGGCACCAATATTTCTTGTTATTGTTGTTGGACTTAGTAATATCGTGTCATATCGCGATGATTAGTCACAATTGTTCTGCGCTTAACTTATTTTGCTTATAGAACATTTGCTACCGTGAACGATCCTAACATGTTGTACATATGTCTGTTACCGGCACGATGATCACGATGCGGCTGCAGCTAAATGCTGAACGAGTTCGTTGTTGTTCCGTGAGTTCTACACTGTTCTGAAGCACACTGAAATTGTCTCAGCTAAATGCTGACTTCCATCCATCAGTCCCCTGTTGCAATCCAGGTTGAATGTTGTTGGCTGGAAGGAAAGAAATGAGCAAAAACAATGAGTTTAATATCGCTTTGTGATAGTCGTTATGATAGTTTTGTTAAATTTCAAAGCAAAACAGTTGCAACGTTCATAAACGTGTTGTCCTATGGCTGTTGATAATGAAATCCATTTGGCTGATTCGATTGTTTGTTTCATAAGTCGACTTCGATATTCTTCGAGAGTCATGAAATTTGAAAGCGTAAGTTAAAGAACAACACACCTCCAAGTCTTACGAATATCTTAAGAATGAGTCGTGCAGCGATAAGTCCCTTCTTCGGTGAATTCTTCTGTTGTTTTCTCAAAAAAGTGTATGAACGAATTCTTAGACTAAAAAAACGCACGGTTGTCAAAAATATGTCTGATTTGCCAAAACCATCCCCCAATTCATTTTCAAAACCCCCTACAATATTATCTTAAGGATCAGCGATATTTCTCTCAGGCTCGTATTCAGGGCATTAAAGAAGAAGAAGTTGCTCTAATTATCGCCATGCGATCAAATGCCTTTTGGCCCAATAATATGTTCTGAGAAGATCCATTTGTTGAAAAGACAATATCTACAGTATAATATACAAAGTGATCCGCATAGCTCATCATGCTTGGAATTTTATTTGAACCCAAACGGAATGGATCTCTTGATTTGAAGTGAAATTTTCTTAACAAATGATAAAATTTTCTATTTCAAAATTGCTACGTCGACCATCACATGCATACTGAGATGATGGCTGTGGTGATGCTAGGCTACTTGTTAAAAAAGAAATTAAATTCCAGCCTATACCTCACTTGTGTTCACATGTAAATCTTTCATGGTAAAATTCCCAAGTTATGTGACTTTCTTGACTTCATTTGAGACAAAGTCAAGACGTCAATTGCACCTATGATGATCATCTCTCGAGTAAATATAGTCAAAAATAGCGGCTTTAAAGCTCTAAGCGATGGAGAGCCTAACTTTCAGCACTTTAAATTTTTGGTCTTTTCATTAGAATATCAATGTTGTGTCGTCCTCTTTCAAAGTTACCACAATTCTGTGGAAAATTTCATGAAATTGATCTAATATCCGATTTAGCATCGCAATCCAAAGAGATTTCGAATCTGAGATCAAGGTAGCTAGAACCATTTTTGCTAATGCGTGTGTCTTGTGTTTCTCCCCAAAACCAAAGCGAAATATTATACAATCCTGTCGATCGACATTGTTGCGCAAATATCAAGGCAGAAGGAAAGAGTTGATAAATATGCCCATCGTGTCAACTTTATTGAGTGTATGAAAACACTAAAAGAGTGTCCATACTAACAAATGCGCACACACACATACACGAAGCGCAAAAACATGCTTAGGCGCTATATTCCAAGTGGTAATCAGACTGAAATACCTCCGCTTTCCTAAATTTCGGTTCTTCTATATGAAATGAAAGCATGTAAAACCAGATTAGATGAATTCGAACCAGCCTTTCTATTACCCAAGTACATGTTATAGGGTGGGCATCCTTTCCATTAACTGGGGGGCCGTGCTCTTCGCAACATCCAAAACAAGGATGATTTGCATCAAATTCACTACGAGGCCATTTTCCGGTTGGATACATCTTCTCAACATTGATATCTGTGTCGTTATACGTTTTTATTCTTATTTTTGGCCCTTCGCCGATGATTCCTCCTAATAGAAGAAACAATGCTGAATTTCTCAACCTTGCCCAACAACGCCAAGAAGAATTTTATCTATAATGGACTTTTACTTAACTTATGTTGCCTAGTGCATGACCTGAAGAATGAAATTCGTTTCGATTCTTTTGAGATGAAAATTTAAGAGAGTGCATTTTTCTCTCTCTCAATAGGAACATCATTTCAGAGTGAATGGCAGCGTCTGAAAATTAGAGCTTATCCTTACGATTGTGAATACATTTTACTTGAAAAGAAATCCGCGATTGTTGCGGGAATTGATTTACGTTGAAGTTGTACCGATGGCCGAAAGTGATGTCACTAGGTGCTGAAGGTATCTTTTTTGGTCCATTAGAAGCGTAGGTTGTCTTGATTCGGATGAAAAAAATTGTCGTTACATTTATGCGTCTTGAAATCAGCATTGACCATAGATTGGGGTTTTTAGCCCGTCGTCATCTGCTACGCTGTCCATCATAAATGGCATAGCACGAAACTCTCCACAAATGCAATGTTAGTCTTGCTAGTCGTTTAGTAGAAATGATAGCAGTAAGAGCGATGGCGAAAGTTATATAGAAAGCAAATGAAGACGAATACCAACTTTTAGTTTTGCGCAAAAAAAGATATTTGATTATACCCCTTATGGGTTTGCAAAAGTGAAGTAAAGTGAAAAATGCGAAACTCTCTATCCGAAGATGAAAAAGCTAATCCAAGAGCAAAATCGTTAATAATTTCTGGTATAACGGAACGGCACACGATTTTGTGTGTCTTGCAATAAAAATTTCTTAAAGCATTATTTTTGGGCTATTTGAAAATGTACAACAAACCTGAAGTTAGACTTCGTCACTGTAGAAGTACTGGTTTTTACATACAGTGCTATCTAAAAAATAGACTGGTCCAGATCGAAATTCCTTATGGCCGATTAACTAATGAAAAATTTTCACCATTAAATACGAAATGTTAGGCTTTTTTGCCATATAAAGCTTTATTATAACTTCTATATGACTTGGGATGCAAAAAATAGACGTACGTGATTCAAATTTGTCAAGGTTCACATTTTATGTCAAATTATTATTATGAATGAGTTTTCATGATAAAGTATTGAAAATTAGACCTTTTTAATGCATAAAGATTTAGTTTCCTGTCCGCAAAAGGGATTGTATGACAAGTGGATCGAAAAATTGGCCCATCTGATATAAACTTTTCCGAATATATATATGTAGATTAATTTATTCAGCGTATGCCGATGCTAATCGCGTAGAACGCAATTAAATTTTTCGCTTATTTACAGAAATCTGCTGGCGAACACCATCAGTCATTTTCGGAAGGTTACGGTGAAGTTACTCAACGCGACACACATTGACTGAAAATGCCATCTTGGCTAAACGTAGCAAGAGTAGTCAAAGATACACCGATGCAGCTCAAATAAGAAGTTCTGCCGCTCTAGCATACCCACCAGATATGGTATCTTCTACTTATTACTTTCTCAGATCGATTGCGGCAGTGTTTGACTGCCACACGGTTCCGCAAAGTTGAAGATGTGCGAAAATGAGTCGATAATTGGATCGCTGCCAAATCAATATCCGTTCTTTCGAGACGGTATCGCCATGTTTGCCAAAAAGATTGATAAAAGTTGTAAAAAATGATTGAAAATATTTTGATTATATATATATTATACACAAGTTTTTACAATAAATGCCTTTTTCGAGCGAAAAAATGATCAAAATTAACGGAATGTCATAATAGAATTTTATCATAATATAATATTATTAAGCGATTTTTTTCGCGAAATTCTGAAAATTACGATACTTTTTCATATAATGACCTACCAAAATAGGGTGTGATATGGTCAGCCCTCGATCCGAACGATTTTCTACAGCATTCTTCCTTGGAATAAAACGCACCATTCTACCAAATTTCACAGAAAAGTACGAGTTATGGGTCAAACAGATGAATACATAGTCAGATAACCTTAGGTCTATTCAAAATCCGAATCTTGCTATAATAAAAGATGAGTCTATCTCAAAGAACTACCCCATACGCTTAATGCCGCTTAATGTACCACATGTCGAGTACACCCTATATAAAACCAATTTAATTGTGTAAGTCATAAATCATAATTAAATTTGAATTTGACAACAAAATCTAAAAGTTGATTCAAATAAATTCTTCTTCGCCGGCATTTCGATGATACATACCATTTATTTATAAAACTTTTCATAAGTCCGATCGCGTATTTTGTTAGTCTAACCCGAAGTAGGCAATAAAATTTCCAATTAAAAGCAACGATGGACAACTGCAATGTATGAAGTTATGAATGTCGATGAATGTAGAAAACGAGACTTGCATCGAAAACGGGACTTATATTATCTGCACAAATGTAAAAGACAAAGATTAAATTAGCGCAAGCATATACGCATGATCTTCTTGTCCACTCGAAGGCCACGACGTTTAACATCTGAAATCCTGTTAGAATTTTCTCCAAACAATGTGAAAAGAAAACTATGCTTCATAATCGGAGTTTAGGAGTTTTTGTTTTTGTTTTCATTTTTTATTAATAGACATTTACATACGCACTGAAGCACTGGAGGATACGAGTCGTTTTTAACAATGAATTTCAATTAGATAAAAGAAAGATAAAACTTCACAAAGGACAAATTATATTTAATACAATGCACAGGGAGAACAAGACGTTTTGCAGGAATCTGCTTAATGAGTCATTCTAACGTGTTGAAGGATAGCGACCAAAAATGAATGCCGTATGAATTATGTAGGAAAAAAGCGCAGCAGCAAATAGCTCCCATTATCGATTACATCTTTATAATCGTGCTTCTTCGTCTTTTCCTTTCTTCGTTTTTTCGTTTTACAATAAATTTCAATAAAGTCTGTTGTCAAAAAGAAGAAATTAAATGATATATGGATAAATTTAATACTGAATAGATTGCATACCTTACATGTCAAGCAGAAAAAGAAAATTCCATATGAATTACGATAAATTTGAGATAATCCTTAAAGGCAACTCATATAGAGTATATGTAGAAAATCAGACTAATTTCGGTGAATATAACGTGACGAGAAGTAACGACCAAAAGTAGGCCAAAGTATTTGAATTGTGCAGAATAAAGTCCATACTGCGATTAGCATCGTCTCTTCTATACCGAACAGTACATCAACGCCTGCCTTTGCGGTTGTTGTCTCTTCTTTAGCTCCTGCAGCAGCTCCTTCAGCGGGTGCAGGTTCCTCATCTTGGAAGAACATTGCGTATATGTTAAGTTTTCTTTAAAAATGTTTAAAATAACACGAAATGTGCTTGCAAATCCGAATTGATAATATAGTGGGCA